CTCCTTTCTATATCCATTAAAGCAACGTTTACTTTCTGTTTCAACAGGTTTTAATTTTATTTTGCATCATCACACATTTATTTAAAAACTATAGCCCTTTTGGTAGTGATGGTCCAGGTCAGTTGGTATTTTGGACTGATGTTTATGTGTATCTAGGTGTTTTTGTAGGACTCTCAGAGAACTTAAGGCAACTCTAATGGCAGTTTTTGAAATATATTATAAAATAATAAAAGATAACAATGAAAATCAAAAAAAAAAGAAAATGCTTATCATCCTGGCAATGTAGACAAATCATGAATCTCCTTCAAATATTAGTTCTGCAATTCCCAATCAGAAAAACAACGCTATCAACGTTATTAACTGTACCTTCCCCATTGTCTCTCATATTTCACATCATAGTTCCTTCATATATATGTACATAATTTTCAGACCAGGATTAATCATATCATAAAAGGGAAAAGATGGTTCTATTATCAGATTATTATCTGAAAAATATTAGAAAAACCTGATTTCTTTTAGGTATTCACATATCCATAAGAAGGGTAATTACAAAAGATACCACATATACAGAAGCTGTTGACATTCCAAAAAGAGAAGTGCAGGACTTACAATAACTGTGAGAGTGAAATGTTGACTCACAGATCAGCAGAACAAGTTGATACAATCTAGTTGATTTTGACTCCAGTACAATTCAGCAAAACAGCAGTCACAACTTCCAGGTTACTGCCTAATAATTGCCATTCTTTGTTTCATGCTTTCTGAAATGTTTAGAAGATGTCATCATTGCCTTGGGTTATTCTATTCAGAGTATTATTATTAACAATTTGTGAAAAGTTTAACTTGGAAACATTATTGTGATAATTAAAGTCATACATGGCTAAAGTTTAGAAACTTGTTCCTCACTAACATACACCTGACAGGCAAGTATGCACTTAGAATTTTTCAACATTCCATTGAAATGCAACTTTGTAAAAGTATAAAATAGTCTTTCTCTAGAAAGAATTTATTTTCTTATGTAACTTATATAAACTCTTAAGTATAGACAGGGCATCAAAAGGAAGGATGGAGTTGCCATCCCACAGGCAAAATCTTAATAGTAAATTATAGTTTAAAATTAATAATTGTAGTACGATATCTTTTTTCTATTGGGCAAAATGTAAACGCAAAAGTATGAAAATAATATGCTAAGCCACAAACATTAGGAATCTGTTAGAAACATACTTTAAAGGAAAAACGTGATTTTAAAAATTCCCTAAGAGATACTATATAAATTGTTGGTCTAAACTAAAGTTTTAGTTTCTTTCTACATTTTATGATACTTCCAAGCTGGGTCATACATAAGTATGACCACTAGGACCAGAGCTTATCTGGTGCTATTGCATCTAAACTGGACACCAGTGTTCTGTTCGTAACCAAAGCTTTCCATTTTGGCAACTGGATTAGACGGAATTTACAGGGTGTGCGACGGATTGGAGAAGGAAGACAAGAGCATTTTTCTGTGGGAGAGAGTTCCCATCCACACATAATATTTTGTTTATTCCTAGATGTGTGCGTGCATATGAGAGAGGCGGGGGAGAGACGGAACTCATTAGAAAATCAGAGATTAGAGTCACAGTCATTCGGAAGCTCTCCTTTCTGCCCTGTGCGTTTCTGCTCCTCAGTTAGGTACTGCAGTTTAGTTCATGTTCATAATAACAAATTCCAACTTCTTTTAGATAGAAAGCATCGAGTATAAGGCAAACACATTTCACCGTGGTCAAACTTAACAAAAGGGCTTCTCAAATGAGAGGCGACGGGAAGATTTGAGACATTTCTTGTCTTGCTGTTTCCTCGTGCAGTTTTAGTCAGATTTTGTGAAGCTCGTTGAGAAGTTAACACCCTGGTGATCTATTACTTCCTGGCTTCCAGGCATCACTCTGACCTATTTCTTCCTCACAGACGACTATTTCTTAACGGCTGTGGAAACAGCAGGCCTTTGAGTGTGTGTGTGTGAGTGCATGGACTTCAGACTCTTCAAATCTTTGCTGCCTATAAAGTCACAGACTGCTATGCTTAGATCCTTGTCGAACTGTTTTTTGTTTGTTTGGTTGGTTGGTTGGTTTGGTTTGTTTTTGTTTTTTTCTCTCTCTCTCTGGAGCACAGGATGAAGTGCCCTGCCCTTCTCAGGTCTCCAACTCTGAAGGCTCTTCATAGCTGCAGCATCCTTTCTGACTGAAGGTAAAATCTGAGCAATGAGATCACAGTGCAAAGTGAAACTTGTTTTTAAATTGTTTTCCTTCAAGCTTTTGTCCTGTAACTGATGAGCTCTGGACCTACAGGAGTCTATTTTGAGCACTTGTGCAATTTGAGTATCTTTTGCATAATTTCTAATTTTCCATTAATGTCTTACTTAATGTCATGTTGAGACCATCTAACTTCCAGTACCTAGCTAGTTTTAACTCTCTGGATTCAATAGAATGTGTTTGAAGCATCCTGGGATGTGCTGTGGTATGGAGGGGTTCTTGTGAACTTTAAGCCCATTCAGCAACAAAGAAATCTTTCTGAAATGTTTCGGTTTTCTGCTCACTCTTACTCCCACTGTTAAATACACTCTGCACACTGTGGAGAGCACAAACCTTGGTGATCAGTGTTGTGACTCCAGAGCTAGGTTTACGTGTAGCAGACAAAAATAAACTTTTAAATTATTTACTGTAAACAGACTTGACTCAAAAAAAAGTCAATAGCAGAAGCAGACTCTTCTCTTTCTCTTCTTTCCTTTCTCTCTCTCTCTCTCTCTCTCTCTCTCTCTCT